CCCCTTTGCCCCCTTCACAAGCATCTGTTGATTTTAGTCAACATGAGTCTTGTTATGGTTAGACTTCAAATTTAGGCCCTCTTTCTCTCCTGCTTCTGTCATGAAGGGAGGCAGAGAGCATGCACTCATTAATGGGATTGGCGTATGGAGCCTTTGTTGCTCCAGGTTTCTTCTGAGGGCCTGGCTGGTTACGTACCACAACCTTCAGCTTCTTCTTCACACCATCAGACACCATCACACCCCAGACAGCTGCTTTGACCTCAATGTCATGGATCCCCACTTCCAGTGGGACAACCACTATTGGCATTGCCCAGGATGACTGCTTTTGAATTCTAAACATCTGTCGGTAGCGTTGCTTGGCAGTGGAAAAGCTGCAGAAGGCGGGGTTGTGCATCAGCTCCACCCGCACCTGAGGAGAAAACAGAAAGGGGTGATTAGGAATATTGTCTTGCCAATGTGAAAAATCGTGAACAAGGAAGAATAGAGCTCCTGTCTTTAGGTCAAGAAAAAGGTGGGGACAGGCTCATTTTCACGACCAAAGGGAAGAACTAAGACACACAATGCTTTCCTGAATGGTTTGTAAGAGTTCAGAAGAAAGTTGTGTGTCAGTAGTTGAATATACCTATGTAGACCTGGAGACATTTCTTTTATGAAAAAAAGTTACCTAATGCTACTTAGTATTTTGGATTCTGATATTTTATGTGATGTGCTAGACAGAGTGCTGGATTAGGACTTTGGAGAACAGGGTTCAAATCCCACTTGGCTATGGAGACTCATTGGGGGAGTAGAACTGGTAAAAACGTTCCTTAAATATCTCACCGTGAAAGCTCTATGAGGGTTGCTAGAAGTCAGTTGTGACTTAACGGCACAGAACACACAGAAACACTTAGTACTTGATTGTATTGTGAATTATTTACTTACAACATTACACATACCCAAGTATGCCAGAAAAATAAAGGAAAATATTCTCTAGTTTCCTCTAGCAACCAGTTCACACATCACCCTTTGAAAATATCTTTCAGAAGACAAAAGACAAACAAAACAACAGGCCCCTTGCTGCAAATTAGTGACATGAGGATATCACAACATCTGGAAAAGTCCTGTCAAAATGCTCCTAAAATGCCTTAAAGATTGCCTCTCACAGTAGTTAAAAAATGTTACTCATTGCATCAAAAGTATATGACCACTTGCTATGTTACTTATGAAATGAAATTTAATCACATCTTCCTTGCCCAAAAGAATAATTATTCACACATAACTATATTACATATAACTATTTGCTTCCAAGATCTGTCCCTACGTCCTTTCAGATGATTGTTTCCCAGAATCCAGGGGAATCCCCAGTGTTACGACTTTTCTTCACTTCCAGGTATGGAACCAGTTACTTATGAAATGAAATTTAATCACATCTTCCTTGCCCAAAAGAATAATTATTCACACATAACTATATTACATATAACTATTTGCTTCCAAGATCTGTCCCTACGTCCTTTCAGATGATTGTTTCCATCAGAATCTCAAGGCTTACCCTGATATCCTGATTCCCATAGTTGTAGAGAACAGCCCGAATCTCCACCTGCTCATTCCTCACCACCGAGTAAGGCACCCGCAGATCAATAAAGAATTTCTTCATTACCTTTATTTCATAAGGCTCAGCCACACAGATACCTGTCAAGGAGATCAACAGGGAAGGAAGCAGGATCAGAAGAATCCATGGCACCTGCACATCAGACATTCTTGCTTAGAAATTCTCTTCAGTGTGAAAATATCTTCAAGGAGGCAGACTCCAGTCCAGCATAATTTCCCCAGTCCAGTCTCCTCTCTCTCTCTCTCTCTGCCTCCCTCACACACACTCACACACTGCGGTTTTTACCTTTTGTTTTGGAAATGCTCACAGCCAGCACCTCCCAGGTTGTGATAGAATCTTTCAGGGAAAAACGCACTATTTTAGATGAGATCCTAAATATAAAGAGAAAGGTATCATGTCATGTATAAGGGAGAGTGTTTATAGTAGAAAATTGAATATGGGATTTAATTACATTCATGAGGCTGCTGCTCAATATAACTCATACAATAACTCTCCATATTCTGATGTTACAGCTTTGTTTGTACTTTTTTTTCTTCCTGTCAGAGGCTGCCAAGTTCCTGGCTCAGAGCCAAACAAGATGAGATAGCAGCTTGACAAAGAAAAGCAGAAGGCATTTGATTCTCCCCAAGAGGTTTCCCAGCTCTGCAAATTGCTAATGAGCTTGCTTTTGTTGGGTGAAA